TGTCTGTCTCTCTCTCAGTGTCTGTCTCTCTCAGTGTGTGTCTCTGTCTGTCTCTCTCTCAGTGTCTGTCTCTCTCAGTGTCTCTCTCTCAGTGTCTGTCTCTCTCAGTGTCTGTCTCTCTCTCAGTGTCTGTCTCTCTCAGTGTCTGTCTCTCTCTCAGTGTGTGTCTCTCTCAGTGTCTGTCTCTCTCTCAGTGTCTGTCTCTCTCAGTGTGTGTCTCTGTCTGTCTCTCTCAGTGTCTGTCTCTCTCAGTGTCTGTCTCTCTCAGTGTGTGCAGAGCCCAGTGAGGAGTTCTCTCTCATTGCTGGCAGAGCTGTTCCCTCCTCCCACGTTGATTGGCTGAGCAGACTGTGTGCTCAAATGCTGTGCTGTGATTGGCTACAGCCAGTTAAAGGGAGCCCTATTTAAAGCAGTAGCTCCAGCAGAGTTTGTTACAGAGCTGGAGGTGGGAGCAGCCAACAGACTGAGAGAGACAGCCAGACAGCCTGAGAGCTTGTCACAGAGCTGGGAGCAGCCAGAGACAGACAGACAGACAGACAGCCTGAGAGCTTGTCACAGAGCTGGGAGCAGCCAGTAGACAGAGACAGACAGGCTCAGAGAGAGAGAGTGCTGGTCCCAGCTGGGAGATTAACCCTGTGTGCCTGTGATTTACCCTGTGCAGGGGAGAATTTGCCTGCAGTGTTGATGAACTCTGCTCTTCTGTGAGAGCAAGCTGTGCCCAGACTGTGCCCACCAGTCCCTTCACCCAGATTTACATGAATCTCCTGGACCCCTTCATGAAGATGACTGATGAGCAAGATAAGTGTATGTCAGAGGCTCCTAGCCCCAGCATGTCTGAGGACTCTGCAGCCTCCCCCTGCCCTTCTGGATCAGGATCAGACACTGAGAACACCAGACCCCAGGAAAACACCTTCCCCAAGGGGGACCAGGACATGAAGAAGGAGACAGAGGATGAGAAGTTCCCAGTTTGTATCAGAGAAGCTGTGAGCCAAGTACTCAAGGGATATGACTGGACTCTGGTCCCCATGCCAGTCAGGGTCAATGGCTCCAACAAGAGCAAGCCCCATGTCAAGAGACCCATGAATGCCTTCATGGTGTGGGCACAAGCAGCCAGGAGGAAGCTAGCAGACCAGTACCCACACCTGCACAATGCTGAGCTCAGCAAAACCCTGGGCAAGCTGTGGAGGTAAGTGTTCCCACTCTGTATACTGCTTGCTCTGTGGGAGCTACTGCTTTCTGGGCTGGCTTTGCCAAGGCTGTAATATAAAATACTGCCTGCTTACTGACTTTGCCAGGGCTGCCTGTAATATAAAATACTGCCCGCATACTGACTTTGCCAGGGCTGCCTGTAATATAAAATACTGCCTGCTTACTGACTTTGCCAGGGCTGTAATATAAAATACTGCCTGCTTACTGACTTTGCCAGGGCTGTAATATAAAATACTGCCCGCTTACTGACTTTGCCAGGGCTGTAATATAAAATACTGCCCGCTTACTGACTTTGTCAGGGCTGTAATATACAATACTGCCTGCATGCTGGCTTTGCCAGGGATGTAATATACAATACTGCCTGCATGCTGACTTTGCCAGGGCTGTAATATAAAATACTGCCCGCTTACTGACTTTGCCAGGGATGTAATATAAAATACTGCCTGCTTACTGACTTTGCCAGGGCTGTAATATAAAATACTGCCCGCTTACTGACTTTGCCAGGGCTGTAATATACAATACTGCCTGCATGCTGACTTTGTCAGGGCTGTAATATACAATACTGCCTGCATGCTGGCTTTGCCAGGGCTGTAATATACAATACTGCCTGCATGCTGACTTTGTCAGGGCTGTAATATACAATACTGCCTGCATGCTGACTTTGTCAGGGCTGTAATATACAATACTGCCCGCATGCTGACTTTGCCAAGGCTGTAATATACAATACTGCCCGCATGCTGGCTTTGCCAGGGCTGTAATATACAATACTGCCTGCATGCTGGCTTTGCCAGGGCTGTAATATAAAATACTGACTTTGCCATGGCTGTAATATACAATACTGCCTGCATGCTGGCTTTGCCAGGGCTGTAATATACAATACTGACTTTGCCAGAGCTGTAATATACAATACTGCCTGCACACAGTGATGCTTGATTTGCTTTGCAGCTAGTTGGAGGCTCTTTTTGGGTAGGAGGGGAGGGGGTCCTGTGGTCCTTCTGGTAATATACCTGTTGCTATCTTACAGCCCCTTCTCAGGCTTCCCTAAATAGAGGCTGAAGGTATAGACCCTCTGGTTATGGGTTATGGTCCCCTCTGATAACACTTGGAGAGGTTCCAATTAGACTGGTGGGTGCACTATTTCTTATCTCAGTATAAAACTCTGGTACTGGATGCAATGTGTCCCAGGGATGAAAATTTCATATTTAAAGTTGAATTTCAAATTCTAACCTAGTTTATGAAATTTAGAAAAAATAGATGCATGCAAATTCTCTGAAAGCGCCTTGTTATAACCTTTTTTTGCAAGGTGCTGACGTCTGCAGCACTTGACAGGTTAATCCCAACTAAAATCAGATTCCCTATATTAAAGTTAATATTTACTGTCTGACATGTGACATGACCATTAAAATTGGCATTGTTCTGGCGTGACATTTAATGTACCCACGTGCAATTACATTTAGATTTGCCTTTAACTGATTCATTGCTAAAAAGACCAAACTAGTTCAACTCCAAGTTTAACCCTTGGATTGATGGCAGTCGCTTGGCAGCTGCAGGGTTCAGATAGAAGTTATCGCCTGTGGGGTGGTGAGATTTCTGCTTTATTGGCAGTAAAGGGATTGCTCAAACCACTTCAAAGGAGCCGGTCTCCCTTTATCTGATAGTTGAAAAGCTCCCTGCACTGTAAAATTCGATTTGTATGGCTCAAAGGGTATTATGGCTTTTTTCCATTTTTCCTCATACCTTTAAGCCAAGTTGCTAGAGACTGGCAGAGCTGGTAAGGTATGGGCTTTGCGTTGTCGTTCGCCTGGTTACAATACATTTTAGGCGTTGGTACCAGGGTTTATCATTACTGTCACAGTACGGTGCCTAGTAACACTATAGATTGTGGCGTTTAGAATTCTAACCCCTGTAGACACACGTATCATCACATAAAGTGAGTTGTGGTGTATTGACAAATGACCCGCGATTTTGGAGGTATTTCTCTTTTCCAAATTTGGTATACTGTTTTATTTTCATTTGCTGTTACCTTGCCTCAATACTAGTTAGTAAACAGGTCTCAGCAATAAAAGGCGATGAGATTGGCCATGTGTTACTGAAATTCCTGGATGTCGCCTGTTTATATCGTTTGTGTTTGGGTCAGGTACTCGGTACAGGAGACTGACTTTCTCTTTGATTTATTATTTTTTAGGCTTTTGAATGAGAGCGAGAAACGTCCTTTTGTAGAGGAAGCAGAGAGACTACGAATTCAGCACAAGAAAGATCATCCAGATTACAAGTACCAACCACGCAGGAGGAAGTCTGTGAAAAACGGGCAGAATGAGCAAGACGATGGCTCAGAGCAAACGCACATCTCTCCCAATGCCATCTTCAAAGCCTTACAAGCCGACTCCCCACACTCTGCATCCAGTATGAGTGAAGTTCATTCCCCAGGCGAACACTCAGGTATGCACAACATACCCCTTTTATCCTTAACATTGCTGAGGTCAGGCTAGCTGAGTTTCATGGGCAGAAAATAACTGTTCTGCACGCTCAGCCATGATGCTTTGCTTTTTGTGGTTTTAGTAACTGTTGATAAATATGGGCATCACGGTGCCATCAGACGTGGCATAATGATTTCATGTAGCTCAGCAGATGCACAGTGAGAGGGGCATCGCAGTGCCATCAGGCGTGGCATAATGATTTCATGTAGCTCAGCAGATGCACAGTGAAAGGGGCATTGCAGTGCCATCAGACGTGGTGTAGTGATTTAATGTAGCACAGCAGGCACGCACTGAGAGAGGGGCATTGCAGTGCCATCAGACATAGTGTAGTGATTTAATGTAGCACAGCAGGCGCGCACTGAGAGAGGGGCATTGCAGTGCAATCAGACGTGGCGTAGTGATTTAATGTAGCGCAGCAGGCATGCACTGAGAGAGGGGCATTGCAGTGCCATCAGACGTGGCATAATGATTTCATGTAGCACAGCAGGCACGCACTGAGAGAGGGGCATTGCAATGCCATCAGATGTGGTGTAGTGATTTAATGTAGCGCAGCAGGCGCGCACTGAGAGAGGGGCATTGCAGTGCCATCAGACGTGGTGTAGTGATTTAATGTAGCGCAGCAGGCATGCACTGAGAGAGGGGCATTGCAGTGCCATCAGACGTTGTGTAGTGATTTAATGTAGCGCAGCAGGCGCGCACTGAGAGAGGGGCATTGCAGTGCCATCAGACGTGGTGTAGTGATTTAATGTAGCGCAGCAGGCGCGCACTGAGAGAGGGGCATTGCAGTGCCATCAGACGTGGTGTAGTGATTTAATGTAGCGCAGCAGGCGCGCACTGAGAGAGGGGCATTGCAGTGCCATGAGACGTTGTGTAGTGATTTAATGTAGCGCAGCAGGCGTGCACTGAGAGAGGGGCATTGCAGTGCCATCAGACGTTGTGTAGTGATTTAATGTAGCGCAGCAGGCGTGCACTGAGAGAGGGGCATTGCAGTGCCATGAGACGTTGTGTAGTGATTTAATGTAGCGCAGCAGGCGCGCACTGAGAGAGGGGCATTGCAGTGCCATAAGACGTTGTGTAGTGATTTAATGTAGCGCAGCAGGCATGCACTGAGAGAGGGGCATTGCAGTGCCATCAGACGTGGTGTAGTGATTTAATGTAGCGCAGCAGGCGCGCACTGAGAGAGGGGCATCGCAGTGCCATCAGACGTGGCGTAGCGATTTAATGTAGCGCAGCAGGCACGCACTGAGAGAGGTGTCCCTGGCGTTTGCATTACATTTGTGTCTTGCGAGAGTGCCAGCTTCCTAATTTATTAATGTTTGCTCATTGTTTGTGTGCCATACTAGTGTCTTGGCACTAAGCCTAGCAACACTCCACCTGCTTGGTACGTTGAGTAAACAGGTCTCGAGTCCTTCCCCTTGATATGACTGTGCAGATAACTAAGGTTAATGCGGTACTAGCTGATTTAAGGTACATGCCAAGTTAATCATTTCCAAAACAGAGGTATAAAGTTAGACATATTATATTAGTTAATGTAACATATATCTAATATTATTATTATACAGTATGGTATTTAAGAATTCCATTGCTATATTTACATATATATCTATGTATTTTAATACTTGATTATTATAATAACGTAAGTAAGATATAATAACAGCATTGTAATTTTTCTGTTATTTGACTTTCTCCTGCAGGTCAATCACAAGGCCCCCCAACTCCACCGACCACCCCTAAAACTGATGTGCAGCCAGGAAAGCCTGACTTGAAACGAGAGGGGCGCCCTATGCAGGAGACAGGCAGGCAACCACCACATATCGACTTCCGTGATGTGGACATTGGAGAGCTAAGTAGTGAAGTCATCTCAAACATTGAGGCCTTCGATGTCAATGAGTTTGACCAATATCTTCCCCCAAACGGTCATCCAGGTGTTGCTTCTACCCAGGTGACTTACACAGGCAGCTACGGCATCAGCAGTGCTTCCAGTGCCACTACTGGAGCTGGGCACGCTTGGCTGTCCAAACAACAGCAACCACAGCAGCCACCACAGCCACAGCAACACACGTTGTCAACACTAAGCAGTGAGCAGAGCCAGTCCCAGCAGAGGACACACATCAAAACTGAACAGCTGAGCCCCAGTCATTACAGTGACCAACACCAGCAACACTCCCCGCAACAGCTCAGTTACAGCTCCTTCAACCTGCAGCATTACGGTTCTTCCTACCCAACAATCACACGCTCACAGTATGATTATACCGAACAACAGAGCTCCAACTCCTATTACAGCCATGCAGCTGGCCAGAGCTCCAACCTCTACTCCACCTTCAGTTACATGAATTCCAGCCAGCGACCCATGTACACTCCTATTGCAGACAATACGGGGGTCCCATCTATCCCCCAAACACACAGCCCACAACATTGGGAACAGCCTGTGTACACACAGCTTACCAGACCCTAGGCTGTAAGCAAGACATTTACTTTTCTACATCTACCACCCTCCAGGACACAGGTGGCGCCCTCTGCTGGCAACCAGTGAGAATGGGTGGAACTTTTGATAAAGGACTTATCTGTATACACAGAGGGGGCAGCAGGAATAACTCCAGACAAGCAATTAAAATGTGCTGTTCAGTGGACTTTGCAATTAGGTTTTTTTTTTGTTTTGTTTTTTTGAGCCATAAATGGGGGGGAAAAAAATAAAAGAGCAGATCCTCTGTGAGGACTATTTTCTATTTGCAAATATTCTAGTATGTACTGTGTATGTTTCATTACCTTTTTTGGGGGGGGCGGGGGTTTATACATTTATATTTTAGAAAAGAAATGTTTAAAAAAAGTATTTTTTTTCCAACTTCTTAAATAGGTCTTAGTGAAAATATACATCCTCTGCTTTTCTTACAATTAAAAGTATTTTTTTAACAGATAGAAAACAATCTATTCTTGTGTAAAATTTGGATCACATCACCAGATCTATATATTGTGTATCAAATGGTGTTTCCTTAAGACCAGATCGGCCTTTTTTATAACAGTTTTCTATGCAGTATTTCTGCAGCACTGCATTGTGAATACCAAAGTGCCAATATCAGAATTGCAGTGAAATTCACACGTTGCCTGACACTATATGGTTTTATTACCAGCCTGTAAACAAGTGCTCTTGCTGTCTTGGACTTGCAGAAGGAAAGTGGGTTAAAATTCCCAAAAGATTCTGAAAAAAATGGAAGAAAAATCTTAAATTATTTATTTTATAAAAAATATGGAAAAAAAAGAAATAAAAAAAAGCTATGGAAATATTCCCAATCTTTTTAGTTTTTATTTTGTAAAAAGTAAATATATTAGCATGCTGCTGATTCCACTCTTGGAAAAAATGCTTTTTGTTGTTGTTAATTTATGGGTTTTTATTATTTTATTGTCTTGCATTCCATTTTCTTTTCTTCTTCATTTTTAACCCTAAATTCCTTCTCTCAGTCTTTGAAAAATACATGGTTAATGAGGATAACATCCATTAATCTGGATAATGTAGTGGGAAATAAATGCAGAAATATCTTTTATTTTTTTTTATTTTTTTTTTAACAAATCTAAGAAAGAGGATATATTCTGTTTAAGTTGAAAAAAATAGATCTGACTTTTACGACCATTTTATATCTCTTTAAAAAAAAGACAAGTACTTTTAAACGCCTCAATTTTAATTTTAATTGTAATTTTTTTTTTCAATAAGGTAAACGGTTAAATTACACCTTGATGTTTTACCTTTTCGGTGAGATAACCGATTAAATATATATCTCTACAATAAGAAACCATGGTGCACTATGATAACTGTCAACATAAAACAGTTTGACTTTAGCAAACAGTTTAACTTTTGCTTAAAAAGGAATAATTTTGGTTTTAATGTGTTTTTTTTTTTTTTTTTTTTAAATATTAATTTGTCCAAGTTGCGCTACCATCGAGCACTCCTTAACTGCTGCCTTTGTTACAAAGAGCAAGCCTTAAATTTTCCTTTTAATGAAAGAAAGACGTACAGGAGATTGACTTTAGAATGTCACCCGCTCCATTAGATTCCTTTGTTCATCTGAATGTTATTTTTGTTTTGTTTTTTCTTTATCTTTTTGCAACTTATTGTATGTGTTATTTGTTCTCAATAAATATAATACATTGTACTAAACCAGCACTGGAGTTGACTTGTGTTGGCAATTTAATAAAGTATAAGAAATAAAATCTTCTGTGTGACCCTTACCATGTAATGTAGCTCTTTAGATATAAAGGACTCCAACTCCCATTTTGCTTAAACAAGTGTTTCAACTGCATTATGAATATTGACGTTCACAGGAATTAAAGAGAGAATCTGTAAATATAAATACATAGCTAAATTAAACCCAGTTCATAATCATGCGGTGAGTGTATCCATCCGAATGAGACTGTTAGTAGCACAGGAGCCGTCTCTGTACGATAAGTATGCATTTTCCTATGATCTGAAATCACATTGCTGGACTTTACCTGTCTGGGAGAAGCTATTGTTTACCTGGTGTCAGATATGTACAATTTTACAAACATCTATTTGGAAATGTTCTAGAATCTGTTTTCATTTGGCTCTGGCTTTCATTTATAATGAAGAATTAAAAAATCCGGGGGTTGGGGCATTTATTATACAAGTGATTTCTAAAAGATTATGTAAACACATTCACATGTTTCAGATTTAATTCTATTAGATGCCTTAACAATCAGCTGTATATGGATGGAGCGTAGTGGGCCAATAGTCAGAGATTGATTATGGGTGGGCTGATGGCTCAGGGATACACACCCAGACTCCAGCATTGGATGTAGGTATGCTAGGTGATAACTGCTAGCGATGCCTGATCAGCAGGAAATTCAGTGATGTTTGTGAAAATACATACCGTAGGTCAAATATGTATTTTTACACTGACTCAGAATTGTGCACTTATCAGGGATCCCCAAAATAAATCACAAATGGGCAACACTACCAACTGCAGTTTTTTTGGCATAGCAGGGAATTATAGGTGTTTTTTCTAACAACATTTTAATGGACGCATACAAGAGTTAGGCAATGTTACTACGGCACTAGGAAATGAACCTCTTCATGCCAGATACGACAAGCTGGGCACAGCACCAAGCATTGTAATGACTGAGGTGGCATCATTTTATTCTCTTACACAACCACCATTAATAGGGCTGTAACTGCATGTTAAGGATTCTGGGAATCCAATCTCCGCTTGCACGGGACTCGTAGAATATATCAGCGACCAGAAATGGTTTACAAACAGTCAATGTATTTAATTTACAATGATAATTTCTCACCCAGCAATTATCAAAATGGTAGGTAGCTACACTGCGCCAATTGCTTAGGAATCTGTTGTTTTTATTTTTAAAAAGAGAGAGGGCGTGCTAAAGTGAATGTCTTCTTCATACTACCTCAGCAGGGAATTCAGAAACCATTTTGTCTCGCCTTTAACTGCTATTTAAGATGTGCCAAAAGAGGATCCTATTTTCAAACTCTTTGTGAATGATGATATCACAATAAATAAGCACAAAATACAAGAAATGCCTTCTCTAACCTTTGTCATGAAGGTGTTAAAATGTCATCATTTCGTTAAGCCTGAATTATGTGTACATATATCTACTTCCCTGTCACAGGAAAGCGGAAATTACAGCAAACTGGACACGTTTCCAACTCAGGGACAGCAGACTATGTAACATAACCTGGCAGAATAAACTCCTTTCTTTCATCACGTGATATATTGTTTATATTAAATAGCATCCTTTATTTAGTCTTCAATTTTTCTGTCAATGCTGAATTTGAGAACTCCGATATTTTGGATATATTTGTGGTCGGGGACCATAGCCGAGGAGTTAAGTGTTGATGGTAAATATACTTACCAAGGTGGCTGAAAGTCGGTTGTGGCGTTAGGCCTGAATAAACAGGGCCAGGGTGGAGTTATGTTGCAATATTGAGGTGGCGGGGGTCTGCGGACCTTGCAATGAGGTAAAGGGTCCCCTTATAGGTTGGCAAACCCCTCCCACAATTCCATGAAACTGGCACTAAATGACGCCATAGTCTTTACAGAACTGTGGATTAAAACATTCAGCAGTGAAATAAACATTACGGGCATCCATTTTACACTAACCACACGCAGAATTGCCAGCCTCCATGTTTGCCTCTGACAGGATAACAAAGAGAGTTGTATGGTCTACAGTTTGTGAAGCATGAAAGGGGTTGAAATGAATGCATATATATGAGAAGAGCTAATTTAGACACAGCTTCAGGTGACACTACCACTGCTGCTGTGGATTTAGCCAGAGACGTGTTTAGCCAATGCAGGCCTCCCAATTTTGGTCCTATACTACCACCCCGATTTAGTACCCTGGGGTCCCTCATCTGTCCATGCGTAGCACAGCACGAGCATATCATTAGACTCTCTGCATTGTTCTGTATTTTCAGGGCCAACCAGGTGCTTCATGACTTTATGGAGAACCACTAACTGAGTGTTTTTCTATGGAGTTTTTCATGCGAAGCGTGAGGACATCCAGTGTCTTTTCAAGGAGTCAACCTCTGTGAAACTGCAGGAAGCACCAGTAGTGGCTGGTAGACAGCCAACAGAGACAGTCTTAACCCTGCAATGAAAACTTGGCACTTTCTCTAAAACTGCAGTGTTTTACATTGCCGGCTTTAGGTTAAAGGGACAGTGCACTCAGATCACTAGATGAAGTGAAGTAGTCTGGGTACTTATTAGTGTCCCTCACCAGAACCACTGCAGCTAATTGTAAAGGTTCTGGTGTTGATAGTCTGTTTCAAAGAAACATTACTGCCTAGTTACACCCTAGGTGCACTCAGTCAGACAGCCTCTGATGATTGAATGCTTCTCTATGAGGAGATGCTGATTGGTCGGTGCAGCGTGGTCATTGGATTGGCTGATATCACCAAGATCCACGATATTGATACACTATGTCAAAGGGTTCCAAAAATGAATTGTGAAGCCCTGGTCTATAGTAAATAACGTTGTACGGTATGAAACATCTTCCAGCCAACTAGCTTTTCATTGAATCTATCTTGGCCTAAACCATGACATTCATTCACTGCGTCTTGGGAAATATTAGATTCTTTTTTAGAAATTTCACATTTTAGAAGAATTCTGTTATTTTTAGCAAACATTGAGAAATCGCCTGTTGATTCTCCTCATTCTGGTTTTAGTAAACGAGTCTATGACTGGCGGCCTAGTGAAGCAATACTGTTCTATTCTGTAATATTCTACAGAAATTGTCACCGAAGATTGCAAGGACCTTCAAATTAATAACCCGCACAATAAATATTATTAAAGTAGAGCTATATAGCACAGTGTATCACATTACAGAAATAGTTAAATCCATTGGTGCTGGACATGTACACTCTCAGACTGTGACACGTATAGAGGACACGGGATGCTGTGACATGTATACATGACAAGGGATACTGTGATACGTATAGAGGACACGGGATGCTGTGACACGTATAGAGGACACGGATGCTGTGACACATATAGAGGACACGGGATACTGTAACACGTTTAGAGGACACAGATGCTGTGACACGTATAGAGGACACGGATGCTGTGACACATATAGAGGACATGGGATCCTGAGACACGTATAGAGGACATGGGATACTGTAACACGTTTAGAGGACACGGATGCTGTGACACGTATAGAGGGCACGGGATGCTGTGACACGTATAGAGGACACGGATGCTGTGACACATATAGAGGACACGGATGCTGTGACACGTACAGAGGACACGGGATGCTGTGACACATATAGAGGACACGGGATGCTGTGACACGTATAGAGGGCAAGGGATGTTGTGACACGTATAAAGTACACAGGATGCTGTGACACGTATAGAGGACAAGGGATGCTGTGACATGTATAGAGGACAAAGAATACTGTGACACGTATAGAGGACATACCCAGATATTACGCAGTCTGAGCCGGTTATTACAGATATAATATTATACCCAGATATCACGCAGTCTGAGCCGGTTATTACAGATATAATATTATACCCAGATATTACGCAGAGTGAGACGGTTATTACAGATATAATATTAAAACCAGATATTACGCAGTCTGAGACGGTTATTACAGATATAATATTATACCCAGATATTACGCAGAGTGAGCCGGTTATTACAGATATAATATTATACCCAGATATCACACAGTCTGAGACGGTTATTACAGATATAATATTATACCCAGATATCACACAGTCTGAGCCGGTTATTACAGATATAATATTATACCCAGATATTACGCAGTCTGAGCCGGTTATTACAGATATAATATTATACCCAGATATTACGCAGAGTGAGACGGTTATTACAGATATAATATTATACCCAGATATCACACAGTCTGAGACGGTTATTACAGATACAATATTATACCCAGATATCACGCGGTCTGAGACGGTTATTACAGATATAATATTATACCCAGATATTACGCAGAGTGAGACGGTTATTACAGATATAATATTATACCCAGATATCACACAGCCGGTTATTACAGATATAATATTATACCCAGATATTACGCAGTCTGAGCCGGTTATTACAGATATAATATTATACCCAGATATTACGCAGAGTGAGACGGTTATTACAGATATAATATTATACCCAGATATTACGCAGTCTGAGCCGGTTATTACAGATATAATATTATACCCAGATATTACGCAGTCTGAGCCGGTTATTACAGATATAATATTATACCCAGATATTACGCAGAGTGAGACGGTTATTACAGATATAATATTATACCCAGATATTACGCAGTCTGAGCCGGTTATTACAGATATAATATTATACCCAGATATTACGCAGTCTGAGCCGGTTATTACAGATATAATATTATACCCAGATATTACGCGGTCTGAGCCGGTTATTACAGATATAATATTATACCCAGATATTACGCAGAGTGAGCCGGTTATTACAGATATAATATTATACCCAGATATTACGCAGTCTGAGCCGGTTATTACAGATATAATATTATACCCAGATATCACGCAGTCTGAGCCGGTTATTACAGATATAATATTATACCCAGATATTACGCAGAGTGAGACGGTTATTACAGATATAATATTATACCCAGATATCACACAGTCTGAGACGGTTATTACAGATATAATATTATACCCAGATATCACACAGTCTGAGCCGGTTATTACAGATATAATATTATACCCAGATATTACGCAGAGTGAGCCGGTTATTACAGATATAATATTATACCCAGATATTACGCAGAGTGAGCCGGTTATTACAGATATAATATTATACCCAGATATCACGCAGAGTGAGCCGGTTATTACAGATATAATATTATACCCAGATATTACGCAGAGTGAGACGGTTATTACAGATATAATATTATACCCAGATATTACGCAGAGTGAGACGGTTATTACAGATATAATATTATACCCAGATATCACGCAGTCTGAGCCGGTTATTACAGATATAATATTATACCCAGATATCACGCAGTCTGAGCCGGTTATTACAGATATAATATTATACCCAGATATTACGCAGAGTGAGACGGTTATTACAGATATAATATTAAAACCAGATATTACGCAGTCTGAGACGGTTATTACAGATATAATATTATACCCAGATATTACGCAGAGTGAGCCGGTTATTACAGATATAATATTATACCCAGATATCACACAGTCTGAGACGGTTATTACAGATATAATATTATACCCAGATATCACACAGTCTGAGACGGTTATTACAGATATAATATTATACCCAGATATTACACAGTCTGAGACGGTTATTACAGATATAATATTATACCCAGATATTACGCAGAGTGAGCCGGTTATTACAGATATAATATTATACCCAGATATCACACAGTCTGAGACGGTTATTACAGATATAATATTATACCCAGATATTACGCAGTCTGAGCCGGTTATTACAGATATAATATTATACCCAGATATTACGCAGAGTGAGACGGTTATTACAGATATAATATTATACCCAGATATTACGCAGTCTGAGCCGGTTATTACAGATATAATATTATACCCAGATATTACGCAGTCTGAGCCGGTTATTACAGATATAATATTATACCCAGATATTACGCGGTCTGAGCCGGTTATTACAGATATAATATTATACCCAGATATTACGCAGAGTGAGCCGGTTATTACAGATATAATATTATACCCAGATATTACGCAGTCTGAGCCGGTTATTACAGATATAATATTATACCCAGATATCACGCAGTCTGAGCCGGTTATTACAGATATAATATTATACCCAGATATTACGCAGAGTGAGACGGTTATTACAGATATAATATTATACCCAGATATCACACAGTCTGAGACGGTTATTACAGATATAATATTATACCCAGATATCACACAGTCTGAGCCGGTTATTACAGATATAATATTATACCCAGATATTACGCAGAGTGAGCCGGTTATTACAGATATAATATTATACCCAGATATTACGCAGTCTGAGCCGGTTATTACAGATATAATATTATACCCAGATATTACGCAGTCTGAGACGGTTATGGTATATTTGATATAATTTGATATAATTTGATATAATTTGATATAATTTGATATAATTTGGTTTAGTTGAGGGTTCGTGGCCGGCTATGTCCCTCGGTGTGTCCATGTTGTGGCAGTTTATGAAGCAGGACTCCTATCACTCCCAGCCAGCCCTGCTGTGACATCACCAATAATTCCAGTCAGTCTGAGGCGGCCATGACAGTCCAGGAGCAGCTCAGACAGGAAGTGACGTCACGTGAGTCTGTGAGTGTCTCTCTAAAGGCTCTGTTATATTAAACATCTGGCTGTCTCTGTCTGACTGTCTCTGGCTATCTGTCTCTTTGTCTGTCTCTTTCTCTGTCTGTCTGTCTCTTTCTCTGTCTGTCTGTCTCTGGCTATCTGTCTCTTTGACTGTCTCCCTGTCTGACTCACTGTCTCTTTGTCTGTCTGTCTCTGGCTGGCTGTCTCTCTGTCTCTGACTGGCTGTCTCTGGCTATCTGTCTCTTTGACTGTCTCTTTGTCTGTCTCTTTCTCTGTCTGTCTGTCTCTTTCTCTGTCTGTCTGTCTCTGGCTATCTGTCTCTTTGACTGTCTCCCTGTCTGACTCACTGTCTCTTTGTCTGTCTGTCTCTGGCTGGCTGTCTCTCTGTCTCTGACTGGCTGTCTCTGGCTATCTGACGTGAGTCTGTGAGTGTCTCTCTAAAGGCTCTGTTATATTAAACATCTGGCTGTCTCTGTCTGACTGTCTCTGGCTATCTGTCTCTTTGTCTGTCTCTTTCTCTGTCTGTCTGTCTGTCTCTGGTCTGTCTGTCTCTGGCTATCTGTCTCTTTGACTGTCTCCCTGTCTGACTCACTGTCTCTTTGTCTGTCTGTCTCTGGCTGGCTGTCTCTCTGTGGCTGACTGCTGTCTCTGGCTATCTGTCTCTTTGACTGTCTCACTGTCTCTTTCTCTGTCTGTCTCTGGCTGTCTGGCTGGCTCTGGCTATCTGTCTCTTTGACTGTCTCACTGTCTCTCTTTCTCTGGTCTGGCTGTCTCGCTGTGTCTCTGACTGTCTATGGCTGTCTGTCTGGCTCTGGCTGTCTCACTGTCTCACTGTCTCTTTCTCTCGTGGCTGCTCTCTCTGGCTGGCTGTCTCTGGCTATCTGTCTCTTTGACTGTCTCACTGTCTCTTTCTCTGGCTGGCTCTGGCTATGTCTCTTTGACTCTCTGTCTCTGTCTGTCTCTCTGTCTGGCTGCTCTGGCTATCTGTCTCTTTGACTGTCTCACTGTCTCTGTCTCTTTCTCTGTCTGTCTCTGTCTGGCTGTCTCTGGCTATCTGTCTCTTTGACTGTCTCACTGTCTCTTTCTCTGTCTGTCTCTGTCTGGCTGTCTCTGGCTATCTGTCTCTTTGACTGTCTCACTGTCTCTTTCTCTGTCTGTCTCTGTCTGGCTGCCTCTCTGGCTGGCTGGCTGTCTCTGGCTATCTGTCTCTTTGACTGTCTCACTGTCTCTTTCTCTGGCTGGCTCTGGCTATCTGTCTCTTTGACTGTGTCACTGTCTCTGTCTCTTTCTCTGTCTGTGTCTGTATGTGTCTCTGTTTTACTAAAAAGCTGGTTGCATGCTTGGGTAGGGCATGTTTAATTATTATTAATTATTTTATTCCTGTTTATTCTTCACCAGATGAAATGATATAAATGTGTGTAGTTATTATTAATCTTTATAAATCATACACTTTACATTGCAGCTCCACGTTGCCATGGATACTAATATACTTTGTGATTTGATACACATGAAAAGTGCTGCCTGCTGTATGTAGCATTCTGATCCTGCTGGATTTCTCATTATTAAAGTGGCTCTGTCACTTGCACGTTTTTTTTTTCAAATGTCCCTCTATTTCTTCTTCTTTTTAGTCTTTTTTTATTAATCTTGGTTTTTATTGTTATACAAAGTAGGGATCACTTTTCACTTTCTTACATTTTTGGTAATGGTTGGGGCTTAATCATGGTTCCAGGTAGGCTGTGAAACTGATTTTCCCACAATTCCTACAAAAGTTAAAATAAGGGGCAGGTTGAATTACTCAATTTCCTACATTAGCATTTGAATTTTGCATAGTGTATGGTAGCACTTTCTATGTAATATATACACATATATTTGTGTTCACCGTTTCCCTTTAAAGCTCTAATATCAGTTTGTAATACAAGCAATATCTAATATTTTTTTTCTGGACATATCTATACCTAGTGTTGGTTCTTGCATGAAAAGTCCTGTTCCGTATACTGGTCATGTGCTGCAGAATTCCTCAGTTAATACATTAATTTCCACTGGGAAGTTATATTCAACCAACCAGCATGTATACTTAATTTTCTATATGGCACATGTACATATTCTTCTCTTTGAAGTTGCTATGGTGCCAGGGAATGAGGGTCCTTAACCAACCACGGTCAGCCTATCACTGCCGCCTATTGCTTGCACGGACACAGCCATCTGTACAATCAATGTCAGCCTATCACTGCCGCCTATTGCTTACACGGACACAGCAATCTGTACAATGTCAGCCTATCACTGCTGCCTGTTGCTTGCACGGACACAGCTATCTGTACAATCAATGTCAGCCTATCACTGCCGCCTATTGCTTACACGGACACAGCAATCTGTACAATGTCAGCCTATCACTGCCGCCTATTGCTTGCACGGACACAGCCATCTGTACAATGTCAGCCTATCACTGCCGCCTATTGCTTGCACGGACACAGCTATCTGTACAATCAATGTCAGCCTATCACTGCCGCCTATTGCTTGCACGGACACAGCCATCTGTACAATGTCAGCCTATCACTGCCGCCTATTGCTTACACGGACACAGCAATCTGTACAATCAAAGTCAGCCTATCACTGCCGCCTATTGCTTGCACGGACACAGCAATCTGTACAATGTCAGCCTATCACTGCCGCCTATTGCTTCCACGGACACAGCAATCTGTACAATCAAAGTCAGCCTATCACTGCCGCCTATTGCTTGCACGGACACAGCCATCTGTACAATGTCAGCCTATCACTGCCGCCTATTGCTTACACGGACACAGCAATCTGCAATCTGTACAATGTCAGCCTATCACTGCCGCCTATTGCTTGCACGGACACAGCAATCTGTACAATGTCAGCCTATCACTGCCGCCTATTGCTTGCACGGACACAGCAATCTGTACAATGTCAGCCTATCACTGCCGCCTATTGCTTGCACGGACACAGCAATCTGTACAATGTCAGCCTATCACTGCCGCCTATTGCTTGCACGGACACAGCAATCTGTACAATCAAAGTCAGCCTATCACTGCCGCCTATTGCTTGCACGGACACAGCCATCTGTACAATGTCAGCCTATCACTGCCGCCTATTGCTTGCACGGACACAGCAATCTGTACAATGTCAGCCTATCACTGCCGCCTATTGCTTGCACGGACACAGCTATCTGTACAATGTCAGCCTATCACTGCTGCCTATTGCTTGCACGGACACAGCCATCTGTACAATGTCAGCCTATCACTGCCGCCTATTGCTTGCATGGACACCGCAATCTGTACAATCAATGTCAGCCTATCACTGCCGCCTATTGCTTGCACGGACACAGCAATCTGTACAATCAATGTCAGCCTATCACTGCTGCCTATTGCTTGCACGGACACAGCTATCTGTACAATCAATGTCAGCCTATCACTGCCGCCTATTGCTTGCACGGACACAGCAATCTGTACAATCAATGTCAGCCTATCACTGCCGCCTATTGCTTGCACGGACACAGCAATCTGTACAATGTCAGCCTATCACTGCCGCCTATTGCTTGCACGGACACAGCTATCTGTACAATGTCAGCCTATCACTGCTGCCTATTGCTTGCACGAACACAGCAATCTGTACAGTGTCAGCCTATCACTGCCGCCTATTGCTTGCACGGACACAGCAATCTGTACAATGTCAGCCTATCACTGCCGCCTATTGCTTGCACGGACACCGCAATCTGTACAATCAATGTCAGCCTATCACTGCCGCCTATTGCTTGCACGGACACAGCAATCTGTACAATCAATGTCAGCCTATCACTGCCGCCTATTGCTTGCACGGACACAGCTATCTGTACAATCAATGTCAGCCTATCACTGCTGCCTATTGCTTGCACGGACACAGCTATCTGTACAATCAAAGTCAGCCTATCACTGCCGCCTATTGCTTGCACGGACACAGCAATCTGTACAATGTCAGCCTATCACTGCCGCCTATTGCTTGCACGGACACAGCAATCTGTACAATGTCAGCCTATCACTGACGCCTATTGCTTGCACGGACACAGCAATCTGTACAATGTCAGCCTATCACTGCCGCCTATTGCTTGCACGGACACAGCAATCTGTACAATGTCAGCCTATCACTGCTGCCTATTGCTTGCACGGACACAGCAATCTGTACAATGTCAGCCTATCACTGCTGCCTATTGCTTGCACGGACACAGCTATCTCTACAATGTCAGCCTATCACTGCCGCCTATTGCTTGCACGGACACAGCCATCTGTACAATGTCAGCCTATCACTGCCGCCTATTGCTTGCACGGACACAGCAATCTGTACAATCAATGTCAGCCTATCACTGCTGCCTATTGCTTGCACGGACACAGCTATCTGTACAATCAATGTCAGCCTATCACTGCCGCCTATTGCTTGCACGGACACAGCAATCTGTACAATCAATGTCAGCCTATCACTGCCGCCTATTGCTTGCACGGACACAGCAATCTGTACAATGTCAGCCTATCACTGCCGCCTATTGCTTGCACGGACACAGCAATCTGTACAATGTCAGCCTATCACTGCCGCCTATTGCTTGCACGGACACAGCAATCTGTACAATCAAAGTCAGCCTATCACTGCCGCCTATTGCTTGCACGGACACAGCAATCTGTACAATGTCAGCCTATCACTGCCGCCTATTGCTTGCACGGACACAGCAATCTGTACAATGTCAGCCTATCACTGACGCCTATTGCTTGCACGGACACAGCAATCTGT